TGTAATTGTATGATATGTACTTTGTGAGCCGCCCAGAGTTCCCCATTGGGGGGAGATGGGCGGACAACAAATCAAATGTATAAATAAAAAAAAAATAAAAAAAATATTTAATACATATTGCTCGGGATTCCAAACACTGCCTTAAAATTGCATGAAATGATCTGTAAATCCAACAATGATAGTCAGGGTCAAATATTTATCTTTCACTGCTTTTTTCATCATTCATCTGTCACTTTGGCCTTTTTCATTATTTGGGGTTTTCGTTTTTTGTTTTTGCTTGTTAATTTAGATCTAATTGCATTTTCTCTCATCATGTACTCATGAATCCAGGCAGAAATGGGAATGCCATTGCTCCTCAGTACTATCCTGACCAACTTATGCTAATGATTAGCCAATGCTAATCATCTTCCATTCCTGATAATACTTCTGAGATGGGACACAGAATACATCACTTCGAGGACCTTGTCATTTGCAGCAGAAGTCCTCAGAATGGGCATCAGTGTTGGCAGGGTAGCTCTTCCACATGAATATACACCCAATTCCTTAGTCTAAGGAGCTTTTAGGACAAAGTATCAGGATAGGTGTTCACTCTAGGTGATAAGTGTGGAGAAGGAAAGTGGGCCCTGGCCTTAATCTGCCATCCTATCTGATTGATCGTCTGAGGCAGAGAATTGATTCTATCTAAACTATAGGCTGACTTTATTTATGTGGACATATTTTTCAACATCCGTAGAGAAAGGTTATTAATATTGAAAATATCATGCAGCTTCCATTTCATTACTCTCTGCGCCATATTAACAAATGCCCTTTTCACTTCTTGATTACGGAGACTGTAGATTATGGGATTTAGCATGGGTGTTGCAATGAAGTAAACAATAGATGGTGCAATTTCCTGATCCTCAGCATCTTTGGAGGTTGGCTTCAGGTATCTAAAAAAAATAGTTCCATAATACAGCAAAACAACAATCATGTGAGATGTGCAAGTAGAGAAGGCTTTGCGTTTCCCTTCCATGGACCGGATCCTTAAAACAGAAGAGATGATATGAATATAGGAGGCCAGTATAATGAGTAGTGCCCCTATCCCTAAGAATGAACCAAGAGTAAAAATCACCATTTGGTTTGCAAAGGTGTTGCTACAGGAAAGTTTGAATAGTTGTGGGGCCTCACAGCTGAAGTGATGAATGACATTGGGTCCACAGAATTGTAAAGTAGTCAACAGAAGGGTATTAAGTAGAGCATAGAGAAAGCCAGTGAGCAATGCACTACATATCAGGATAGCACAAACCTGTTTCCTCATCATCACTGCATAATGCAAAGGATGGCACACGGCTGTGAACCGATCATAGGCCATCACAGAAAGGAGAAGACCCTCTCCCACAGAAAGGCTCATGATCAAGAAGACCTGGGCAAAGCAACCCTGAACTGAGATCGCCTTCATCTCTGAAAGGAAGTCTTTTAGCATTTTAGGAACTGTGACTGAGGAAAAACCAATATCAAGAAG